TTCTGCTCTATACTTGCTTTTGATATTAATCCATCTTTGCATATTTCCATGTATTTCTCAAATAAATCAGTCTGCATGTATTAATTAATAATGGAAAAAAAATGGGTCCTGGACCTAAAAGCACACATCATACCAATTACCAAGTAACATCAGTAGTAACAGTACAGCACCCAAAAACTTCCAGGAAGGGGATAAATGGGCATGGAGGAGATGAAAATTAAGATCTTAGGAGGAAGAAAAAGAGAATAGACATACTTTTAAAATGTGCTTGCCGGCTATGGTTTATTTTGGCTTACAGTGGGTTTTATCTTTATGATTACTAAAGGCATCTATAGATATAAGACTGTGGCAAGTAGCTACAGTCAGGACTGAACTGCATGAGAAAGACCACGCAGAAAACTTTATTCCTTGCCTGCCTACAGCCTCCTCTCTAGCCAGAGAAATCACTTGCAGGCACATTGGACTACTTCAGAAAGGGATCTGAATTACAGTCTCTTTCAGTTGCCTAGAAGATTAATAACACATCAGCATCTCAGGCAGTCAAGTTAGCAGGAAGCATTAACTTCGATCCCAAAACCTGATAAAGTTGGACATTCTGCATAACTAACAAGAAGAAGTAGGGCATACTAAGTAGCTCACCTTTAGGACTTCCTCAGAGACATCTTTCTGTAGTTCTTCCAAGAACAATAAAAATTCCGTTTCTCTCTGAAGAACAACCGGAACAGTTTTCTGAAACAATATAAGAGAATGGGAAAGATGTTAGTCAATAAATCTTTTATTTATTTATTTACATTACCATATAAACCTAATCTTAGCTATTTCATTAACATTTTGAGGCAGACTGAAATATCTCTCTGAAGATGCCTAATTCTCAATTAAAGGCTATTCCACAGTTAGGTTCTGCTCCCACACCAGTGGATTCCATTTATCTGTACATCTGGAAACAGAGACAAGTGTCACTTTGTCAGGAATTACAATCCCATCAGTTAAAGACATCTTTCCTCAGAAAGTAAAGAAAAAATGCAAGTCTAAGTAGTGACAAGGACAAATGAATTTAAAAAAAAGTATGACCACACATCCAGTGTGCCAATTAAAACAAAAAAAAAAAAAAGGAAAAAAGACTAGTTTCTCCTTTACTCATGAAACATACTGCACCTGTCTGTCTGAAAACAGCAATACAGCAAGAACATCCCTCACCATCTAAAGCTTATAAAGAATTGTCTGATGCCTGAGCTATTTCATCTTTAATGTAAGAAAGGTGCTACACAAATGCAGAAGTCGATACACCGATGCTTTCCATTTACAGAAATGCCCAATGCTAAAAAGCCAACTTCTGTTACCTAAACAAAAAGAATCCCAATTTTTCTCTCCAGTGTGGAGAAGATTAACGGTTGTTTCTTGACAGGTTTGTTAAAAGCAAAAGCAATGCACCTCTTCAGCTACCTTGAGAACTTAATTCCATGAAACGTGGGAAAGCCTGTAATTTAAATGAGCAACTAGGCAGACATTTTGCACTTGGAAGTCAGCTATAAGTCAGAGCTCTAAGTCGTACTTGGAAGTCAACTAGATGTTTCTGTACCTGATTCCTGGCAAGCCATTTTTCCAGCACAAGAAGCCAAAGCCATGCAGTTCTCCATGGGCTAGAATTCTGTCCCCATCTACAAAAGCAATAAGCACATACACTGGATTATGTACAAGGTCATTCCTATCTCTAAGATCCAGGAAAACACTGTCAGAGGTAATTTCGATTTTTATATTTCTTTGTGTAAGATAAAAACAAAGATGACTAAATAACTGAAGATGAGTCAGGCAGGAAGAGAATGCAGAGAAACCAGAATATTGGTACTACTTACACATTAACTCAATGATTTCTGCTGTGCAAATAACTGCTTTTAGATCTGCCAAATACCAACACTACTGCCACAGTTCTTTGCTTCAAAACAATTAAATTTATTTCTGGTCTAAAGTTCAGTCCATATAGCCCTCTTTGAGCGCTTCAGCAGATTTCTTTGAAATCTGATCGTTTGCCAAACACTGCTATTTCCTGTTCTGTCTAGTTCTACCTGAAAAAATGAAACTAAGTTTAGGTCACAGCAGCACAAGTGTTGCTCTATGTCCAAACTAAAAGTGAAGTCATGTACTAATTAAACAAAGAACAGTTCTAATTTCCATCAGCTTTTCATGTGCTCCAGTACCTATACACACATTCCAAAACCTACACAGTCAGGGAACATATTTAGTACTGTCAAAGGGACTAGGAAAAGGAAAAAGCACAAGATAGTTTATTGGCCTTTAAAAATCTCAGCACTGCTAACTAAAGCCTTTAGATGTGATAGCCCAACTATCAAAGATAAAAAGATCAAAAATGCTTGTCTCACATGGCCATTAGCAATATTCATCTAACCATGTGCACACCTTCCTCCAGACTCCTTTAATTGCTGTCAGTGTAAACTGTTTCTTAGAACCTTTACCAAAACGTTACAGAAATTTTAATGTGAAGAACGCTGATCATCTGCTTGGAGAGGGGGAATAACAATGTTCTCTGAAGTGCTAGAAAGTCACCCTTCATATGCACCTACCTGAAAAGCAGAGATAAAAACTAGCTAGGATTGCGTAAAACCAATGCCATTTCAAAATCCAGTGCAAGAGAAATAAGAAATCAATAGCATGATTTGAATTTTTTTAGAGTTTACATTTTTAGAAATTGGAAGGTCTTTCAAGAGCTGGAAACAAGAGAACATTTTAAATAACTACAGTGCTGATCTTGGTGGTTCCATTTCTAAATTAACCAAACCTCAGTGTCAAAGGAATGTAATTTCAGGAGATGTTCCTTCTCCTTCTTATCCTTCAGTAAAATCTAACAAAATCGGTTCTGAAATGCTTCCAAATAGTTTTAAGCTTGTATCAATCACCATGTCCACCGCATAAATGAACACAACTTGTTATCCCAGTGGACTGGGCAGCCTGCTAAGTGCTTGGGCAGTGACAAGAAGTTGACTTGTTAACTCAGGTAACAGCACATCTAGAGAGATCCAAGACACCTCAGCACTGAAGCAAGTGCTATTTCCCAGATTCTACCCGTCTCCCACAGTCACCACTAAACTAACTGCTCCTCCTCACTTCACACTCAAGCCTACTGAACCAAAACAGTCCCTTACTTACCTTACCCCCACGGGACAAACTACCAGAGCCTGAAGAATTGCTTCCACCTTCTCAGGGCCATCCCCATGCCACTGGCTCAGCTGGGGCACACAGGCCTGCGCAAGCTCCCAGTCTCCATGTCCCCCCCCCCAAAAACCCCCACCCAGCCGCTCCAGAGAGACCGCTTCTTCATTCCCAAAAGAATGCATCTTCCCAGGACGAACAGGTGACCTGGGGCAGGGTGACACACGCGAAGGCGGATGCCGTAAGGGCGCGCTGGGGCACCACCCCCGATTTCTTCTTCGCACTGACGGCGCGCCCTGGGCAGGGACAGGCGGAGAGCCAAGGCCAGGCTTCAGGGGGCTTCTTCACAGAGGGGCAGGGGGGTAAGGCGCCAACAAGCACCGCGGGATGACAACACGGCTGCCGCTCGG